TTTTTTCAGTTGCAGACTGTGAACTCTTAGTTGCAGCATGTTGGATCTAGTTCCCTGACCAGGGATCAAACCTGGGGCCCCTGCATTGGGAATGTGAGGTCTTAGTCACTGGACCACCACGGGAGTCCCTAAAATGTTAAATCTTTACCCTTCCCTATAAAGTTCATTGCTGCTGTGCTGCTGAATACTAAGTGTGCAGACTCAGAGGCACTTGCAAATACTTTACGTTAACAGTGTTTTAAAACTTTTAGACAGTTCAATCCCCACTCCACTCTGAAAAAAATTTTTTTAACATTTATTTGACTACATCAGTCTTAGTTGTGGTCAGTAGTTGTGGTGCACAGGCTTAGTTGCCCCAAGGCATGTGGGATCTTAGTTACCTGATCAGGGGCTGAACCCATGTCCTCTGCGTTGCAAGGCAGATTCTCAACCACTGGAACGGCAGGGAAATCCCGAAATTTTGTTTCTTAACTGAATTGATTGATTTTTATGTCAAAAATCTCAAGTCTGTCTAAAAAACAAAAACAAAAAAACCTTGAGTCTGACTTTATGCTCTTGTTCCCTCTGTCTTCCTAACAAAGTTCTTGGAAATCTGTCTGCTTCACTTCATCTCACTAAAATTTCATTTTAATTCGCAAATTTAATTGTTCAACCGAAGTGATTCTCCCAACTGTTCACTATAGACTCCAGTGACTCCATGTCTTAATACTTCCATTTAACCCCTGTAACACTTGTTATTGGTCATTTACTCAGTAAAACTCTACATGACCTGTTGGGGGTTTTTTCATTGTTTTCGGTTTCTTTGAATGGCGTCTTTTACCCATCCACTACTATTTAAGACCCCTGGAGAAGGAAATGGCAACCCTCTGCAGTATTCTTGCATGGAGAACCCCATGGACAGAGGAGCCTGGTGGGCTACAGCCCATGAGGTTGCAAGAGTCAGACACAACTGAGCAACTAAACCACCACCAGCACCATTTAAGGCAGTCTCTCTGATTCTTCCCTTTAGGGCTTTAGGTTATGTCCCTGAACTATCTTCATGACACCATGACTTCAGTCAGCCTTGGTTTCTTACTTAACCTCTAATGATCCATGCTATCAAATCTAAATTCTTCTCTTTACCCTTGCCCCCAAGAATTAGCTGTTTCATTCCCTCCTAATTTTGCTGTTGTATCACTCTACACAGTCATCTCATGGTAATCTGATTTCTGTATCTTTTCCTCTGTGTGCAGTTGACTCATGGACAGTACAGGTTTGAATTGCAAGGGTCCACTAATAACACATTTTTCAACCTGCACCATATTCCTACACAACCTGTTACTGATTGAATCCAGGAATGTGGAACCTCGGATGTGGAGGGCCAGAGAGCCAACTGTAAGTTATTGGTGGATTTGCCAGCATGGAGGTCAGTGCTCCAAACCACACATTGTTCAAGGATCAGTTCTACAATGTATCGTTAAATATTTTCTTGTGTTGACCCCAAAAATGTTTATAATTTGTCTATTCCTCTTGTTATAGTAGACGTTCACAGTCATAGATCTTCATCTCCTCTAGATTCTTAAAATAGCATAAACTGTTCTAGGCTGCCTGCAGTCCTCTGCCTCTACCCTTATTCCAACCTGTTACATTACCACCTGGTAATTAATGGCTTCACTAAAATATTTCAAGTTTTCTTTCTCAAAGCAAAGTGTGTTCTTTTTATAAATACCATCAGTAAACATCTCTACTAAGGAAGTATCCTGTAGCTAAAATCTAGAAGATAATTTTCTGCAGTACTTACTATTTATGTATTATTACATTAGTTTTGCTTTTCCTGACTTTAAGTATAATTTCATTTCATTTCTTAAAGTATATCCCAGTTACTGAGACTGTGATATTGTGACTTTTAAGAAGTTAAAATATATATCTAGTCTTCATCCCTGTTCCTTGCACAGGAATTGGACACCCCTGTAATTTCCCAAGTGATAACTGTGAATAAGGTGTCTTTTGAATTTATGTTAATGGGGAGACTTTTGGTAAGGTCCTAGGTTTGAGGCCAGTTGCCAAGGGAACCAACCTGGTGATTAAGAGTTGAAACTCTCAGTTACCTTCTCTCCCCCAGGGCTGGAGATGATTTCAGTCACCAGTGGCTAATGATTTAATTAATCACACCTATGTAATCAAGCTTCGATAACATCCCAAAAGTACAGGGTTCAGAATGCTTCTAGGTTGGTCAGCATGAGGAGATGGGGAAGAGTGGTGTGCACAGAGAGCATGGAAACTCTGCACCTCTTCCCCATACCTTGCCCTGTGAATCTCTTCCATCTGGCTGTTCCCGAGTTAATATCCTATAATAAACTGGTGCTCTAGTAAGTAAAATGTTTCTCTGAGTTAACGTGAGCTGTTCTGGCATATTAAACTCGAGAGGGTCACGGGAACCTGCCATCTAGAGCAGGTAGGTCAGAAGCGAGGTGACAACCTGAATTTGTGATTGGCATCTGAAGTTGCGAGGGGAAGGAAAAGGTGCTGTCTTCTGAGACTGCTTATGGGATGTGACTCTTATCTTCTACCTCCACATAGTGTCGGAACTGAGTTAATTCCTTGGTGGTGTGGGGAAAAAACAAAAATACCTGGTGTCCAGATTAGGGAGGCACACATCAATAATACTGCTGCGTGAAGTTGCTTATTTAGTGTGGCAGTACACCAAAATTAAGAAGGAGGAATTCTACTTTCTGGGACTCTTTCAGACACTTAAGATTGGTTGATCCTTAACGTGTAAACAAGTTGTTTATTGTGCTGCCTTTGACATGCAATTCTTAACCTAAACCCCTTTCCCTTTTCTTGGAGACCAGCCCCACCTCTCCTGTTAGTAGTGTCATAAAATTTTCTACTTTTGCTTATTTTATGGCCTATAGCTCAGGGGTCAGCAAACTACTTTGCCCCTGGGCCATATCTAGACCACTACCTGTTTTTTGTATAGCCTGTAAGGCAAGAATGGTTTTAACAGTTTTAAATACTTGAAACAAAAATCAAAAGAATATTTTGATATGTGGCAATCATACAATGTTAAATTTCATTGTCCATCAACTTTTATTGGAACATAGCTAGGGTCTGTGGCTGCTTTCTTATCATATGAGCTAAGCTGAATAGTTGTGACAAACCCATATGGCATACAAAAGGTTTAAGTATTTACTATACAGCCCTTTACAAAATAACTTTACTGACTCCTGGCCTAGCTGATTCTTTGCATGTGATGCTGTTCCTTCTCCTTTTCTCTATGAGAGATTATACTTAGTGATACTTTCACAAATACAGGTTTTCCTAAACTACAAAACCTTATCTGGTTTCTCAGACGCAAAAACTTTCTTCTACTTCGAATATACCCAATAATAGATTCCAGGGACAAATAGTTTAGATTTCTCATCTGAATTAGGAATACCTAGTCAAGTCTTGGAACATTATGTTCCCCATATTAACTATCCTTCTTAATCCTATTTTTACATATCCAAAATACTAATACATACCAATTATAAGATAGGAAAACATTTGTAGTTTTTTTTTTTTCGTTTAACCTAGCTCTGTGGTTTCAAATGAAGAGTTAAGCAGTATTAATTTGTAGTGTTGTGTCTGAAACTTTGTACAAAGAAGAAAGGAAAGTGAAGCTGCTCAGTCATGTCTGACTCTTGGCGACCCCTATGGACTGCAGCCTCCCAGGCTATTCGGTGCATGGTATTTTCCAGGCCAGAGTACTGGAGTGGGTTAGCTATTTCCTTCTCCAGGGGCTTTTCCTGACTCAGGGATTGAGCCCGGGTCTTCTGCACTGCACGCAGACACACACTTTGCCCTTTAAGCCAGCAGGGAGAACTAGATCACAACGCTCTATTTAGGCAATCTTCTCAAGCTTCTTTGGTGGCTCAGATGGTAAACAATCTGCCTGCAACACAGGAGACCTGGGATTGATCCCTGGGTCAGGAAGATCCCCCGGAGAAGGGAATGGCAGCCCAATCCAGTATCCTTGCCTGGACAACTCCATGGACAGAGGAGCCTGGCAGGCTACCGTCCATGGGGTCACAAAGAGTTGGGCACGACTGAGCTGGTAACACACTCAAGTACTAGCAGCCAGAAATCATTTTAGGTATTTTTAAAATGAACACAATCTACTTTAGAGACTCCCAAAGCTAAGAGGGCTCTATAGGGCAAAAACAATCACCCTGACCCTGCTTTAGGGTTGTAAGACACTTAAGACTCTGGAATTCTTTTAAGTACTGCCACCTATGTGCCTGTTAAGTTGCTTCCATGGGATTCTCCAGGCACGAATACTGGAGTGAATTGCCATTTCCTTCTCCAGGGGATATTCGCTGACCCAGGAGTCCAACCCTGCGTCTCTTGCAGCTCTTACACTGCGGGCAGATTCTTCGTGGCTGAGCCACTGGGGAAGCCCTGCTGCCACCTATGTTTCACTGGGATTGGGAGGGGCATCTGCAATTTTTCACACCAGGACACCTGTAAGAATTAAAGGGGAACTGCCTCCCTGAGACCTCAGACCAATAGGTATAATCTGGACTGTCCTGACATAAATGGGATGGATGGTTCCCCTAACGTTAGGAAGAGGCAAGCTTCTGCTCAGTTTTTAATGCTACCTCTTAATTTATTTGTTCCAAATGGAAGGTGAAGATAACAATGAAGGTAGCCTAGATAAAAAACAAATGAAAAAAACTCAAAACTCTTAGATTCTTTTTGAATATAACCTTAAGTGGCACCCCTAATTATTTCAGTAACTAGGTTTTATCCTTCATAATTGAGAAGCACAAATGATTATTTACATTGGTCATAATGGGGCCATGATATACTAAATGTCTATTCAAATATGTAAAGACTTTACTTACTTTAAAGGCTTTTACTTACTTTTACTTTTTTATGTTTACTTTACTTAACTTACTAAAGGCTTTTACTTTATGTTTACTTACTTTTAATATTGACCACATACTTAAAACAGATTATTCAAGAGTCAAGTAGAAACATAAGATCCAAAACAAACTTTATTCATATAGGACATTAAGGGTATTAATAACTCAAATACAGAATAATCAGGTTTTGGGTCAACTAGAAGTCACCAAGATTATTTTAATGGAAGCAGTATAAAATTACATTTGGTATTTTTCTCAGTTCTCTGGCATTCTTCAAGCTTGCAAAGATTCAGTACACTTTAGTAATAGCTTGCTGATCAGCAATAAAATGATCTGATGTCCTTAGAAGTCAGTCTCTCACAAAAAAGACGTTATATCCAAGCTCTATCAAAGCCCCAGCCAGCAAGGCCCATAAAGGAATGAAGACATAGGACAGATTCATGGTAGTAAACTGTTCCAGTTTAGCACAGAGTGCAAGACAGAAGGCTAATTTAAGTAACATTGCAATGAGGTACCAGGCTTTTTTTTTAATATTGTGTGATCCATGTCGAGGGTCAAAGCCAGACTTACATCGCCCAGCCATTTTCACAATCAGCATGACAAGAAGGATAGTATCAAATATCCATACTGGAATAAATATGAGGAACCAGTTCCAAGGCGCCTTCTCATCCAGTTTCAACACCAGCATGATCAAGAAGAGTAGTGTGAAGAGCCAGGTGAGCAGTACTCTCTGAGCCAGGGACATTCTCATTTACACAGTTTACGGAAGCTGTTGCAGGGTCGAAAAAAGGAAAATATACCCTAAGAGAAGGAAAAAAAAGTCAAGATCTTAAATTTTGGTACCAGAAAAAAAAATTATTTCTATTCCTGGTTTACAAAGCTGGCTCTCTCTCTCTCAGATTTCCTAACTTTGAAAACATTTACCATCTCCCTTTCATAATCCATCAAATTTGCAGCCATCTTTGACAACATCACATCCATCATCCATACAGCTGTGACAAAATACAATTTCTAGTATATCCACTGGGTATAAGTTCTATTCAAGATGTTTTAAAAACAGCCTGTTTCTCTTCATTGTTGTCACACAAATCCAGGCACTCAGGATCTTTTTCCTGTACCTCAGGGATGTTCTTAATTAACCTTTTTTGTACATTTGCACACTATTAATTTTCATTCAGTATCAAGGAATACTAAGAAAAAGCATTCAAAATCAAAGAAAGGGTGGTATAAAGCCAGGAGAGGAGTTTTAATAAGGAGGGAACAGTTAAAAAAAGTTACAACATTAAGTAGAACTATGATTGTACAGAGGTCATTGGGCTAAGTAACATAGAACACATTGGTAACACTGGATTTTCACATAGCTTAATCTATGGGTCTAACATTTTTTAATCAAATTTTCTCAAAGTTCTTATAAATACCTATTTTCTTAGTCTAAAACTATTTTTAGCAATACCCATTTTTTTTGGTTTGTGGTATATAGCTTTTTTACTACTTTCTACCCAATAATCAAAACCACTTAAAAAACTTGTTTTGGGATTATTAGGTGCTAAATTGTTTTATAATTGGGGCTATTTCTTACAGTCCTATCCTGTCTTACTGATCGATGTCTGTTTTGCACTAGTACTGTATCACTGTTACTAGATAGGTTTTAGTATCTGGAAGGCCTAGTATCTATTTACTATTTTCTTCTCCAAAATATTTTGTTATTTGGCCCTTCCAGTTTTTCAATGCTAAAACCATGAAATTTAAAAACCTTGGAATTTTGATAGGAATCCATCAATCTGTAATACTTAAGTATAAACACATTTAATCTTCACATACAGGTTTACAGTATGTTCCATATTTATTCAAGTTTTTATATCAGCCTTGTGACCATCTGGAAAAAGGGTAAACAGAATGGCAAGTCAGAAGCCAGGTTGCATGAAGTTGGGTGAGGAGCTAACAGAAGATAATGAAATGCAAACAGGTGACAACATTTTATTCCTTTGAAACAGTGGGAGAAGAGAAAATGAAAGATAAGACTTAAAATGAGGATACGAAGGATCAAGAAGAAATTTTCAGTAAAGGAGAGAAATGATAAACAAAAGGAAATAAGCCACTGGGGAATGACAGACTGAGGATGAGAGAGGATACTAGATGGCAAGAGGAAAAGATAGGCAGGTAACGGGGAAGGTAACAAAAGTATCGGTGACAGGAGTAAAAATTCAGGAAGATAAAAAATAAGGAAAAGGGGAGGAAACTGGCTAGATAAATGTCCTAGACTATCACCTTTAAATAATTATATTTTAGGACTAACTTTGATTGTTACATCTTTACTACTTTAAACAGTGGGTAGCTATCATGGTGCAAGAGTATGTATCTGTTTCATTTCAGTAATGATCTGAGTCTCGAGCTCCCATCTTTCCCTTACACTACCCATCTGCTTGCACTCAATCTGAAGATACTTCATACGGCAGCATGAAAAGCAAGATGCTTTTGCTCTCAGGAAGGCTTTTTCTGTGCCAGTCTCCCTTCCTGGCCAGAGCTGCCACAATGGGATGTGGAACCAAACTTGGAAAAAGAGGTGGAGAGGTGTGTACTGATTAGTAACTACAGATGGGTTTCGTAGTGTAAATTGAATTTGCTCAATTCCAGTTTCCAATCCCTCTGGCTGTTTTTGTTAACTTTAAAAAGAAGTTTATGATAATACATTTGCTTAAACATAGCTTCTATCAGCCAGCCATTAAATGAGTCAAGCTTTTTTTTTGTTTGTTTCCCCCACATAGGTCTGAGTAGTAACTCAATAAGAAGGGTAACTGCATTCAAAACAGGTGCTTTAAGGCTGTAGGTCAAAAGAATGCAAAAAAAACCCACAACCTTGTGGCTGCAAGTTTTTTTATGTGGGATGCAACAAAGTTTTGTGTGCACTTTCACTAAAAGCACTCTATTGATATTTAAATGATGCTTGAAGGATCATGGGTGCTGGGGTACAATGATGACATACAACTCCCAATTTATTCATAAATCTCCATTAATTTATTATATTTTGTTTCCTACTACTTCTCTTCTTTCTCTTTTAAGGAGGGTTGGGGAGCTGCATACTCCAAAAAATTTTAAAGTATTTTTCATTTGAAGTGATTATGTTTTGCACCTGAAGACAGTTAAGTATATACCGCCTATCCGCCTAACACCTGCGCTGCTCCTAAATGGAAATCTAAAGGGCCCTGCGCCCACACAGGTCCAACATCTCGGTATCAGGTGTGTGTGGACCCGATAACTTGTCCGTGGTGCTTGCCACACCATCTCCATTTCCCTTCTCTCGCGACTGGTAGTACACTTCCATATGAACACGTCCTATCCCAAAGACAGTTTTGCTTAATGAGCCCACAACAAAGAATTCCTCCAGATAATGAGTCACCTTCGAAAGGTACCTACTTCAACAGCCTTGGCCAAACTGACCATCCTTCAAAGGAACAGCGTTCTGCTTACATTTACCTGGTTTTCGGGCCTACTTGTCTATAGAACTTCAGGGCGTTCCTAAGGGCGTTTCTAAACTATCCATACCCTTCAACTTCAAACGCCGACGATGTGACAGCGGCGCCCTATCCGAACTCCCCCCATTCTGCACTGTGGGCCCAGTACATTTTAAGAGTTGAACGCATTTCTTGTACGATATGATCCACAATGCAAACAGAAGCCTGGTGCCAATCCGGTGTATTTGGGGCTGGAGGGTGAGGGGATGGGGGCGGCGACTAGGGAGGCAGACACAGGGTAGGTGGCGGGGGCCGAGTGCACTTCGGGGGATACCGGCTCGTCGGGGCCCTGGACTCACCCGGCAGTTCCGCTGTCTGGAGAGCGGAGAGGGGCTCGAAGATCAGGAAATTCGCCAGTTTGGATCCTTGGCCTTTTCCACACTTCTTCCCCCATTAAATCCAGAAGCCATCACATGATAGTCAAGAAAAAGAGACCTCAATTCCGCCGCTTCAAACGACCACAGTGCAGGATCTCTCAGGTAGCCGCGCCCACATCCGGGGCAGGGTCTAACCGCCCTGGGCCTCTCCCATAGGTAGAGAGAACGCCAATCAGAGAGCGCAGAAGCTACCTCCCCTGAATTAATTGGACTATTCAGCCGCCAGTGCAAACCAACCGACTTTTTCGTACAATCCGGTTTGTCAAAAAGATGGCTATAAAAGAAGGCACTGGGCCCGCCTCTTGACTGCTACGGGCTAGCAGGAAAGTCAGTCTAAGCAAAGCCGGGAGCATCCGTGGTCCCATTGGGCCTACAGATGCCAATTAGACTTTGTAGCGCTCGGCCCCGCCCCCGCGGGGCGCCCCGCCCCTCCTCTGGCTCTACCAGTCAGAGCGCGGAGACTGCAGGCTCCGGCGCAAAATCCTGCGGGAGAGGGGGTGGGGCGGTGGATCTGGAGGCGGCGCGCCCGCGGGCAGCTTCGTTGTGACTCCTCAGGCTCCCGCGGCAGCGGCGGCGCTCGCCTCGGTGTCTCCCGCGCGCACCCTAGCCGCCTCTAGCGGCGCGGCGCCCTTTCCTAAGGTAAGAGCCGGCATCACCTCCACGCTCGGGAGGGCCGTGTGGAGGTCGTTAGGTTCTGACATAAGCCGAAGATGAAGGTGGATGAGGGAGGAGAGCGGCGAGTGGGATGGAGGTGGGGGCTCTGGGGTCAACGCGTCGTCCTCCCGGCCCGTGACTTCGTCGGGCGGCCGCCGGCACCTGCGCTCCGGGATCCCATCATTTGGCCGGCGGCGGAGGCTCAGTTTCCCTCCTCCCGAACCCGGGCAGTTCTCGAGCATGGCTGGTGACGGCCCGAATCCCAGCGCCGCCTCTTGCCCCTCCCGCCCCTTCTCAAGGCCCCTCTCCTTCGCTTCCTTCCCGTGGCGTTCTGTTGGGGGCGCGTCGGGTCCGAGGGCATGTGCGGCCAGCGGGTGGCCGAGTCCCGGCCAGAGGGGAGCGGCCAGCTAGCGGCCGGAGGAGCGAGCTCGGAAGGAGGAGGCGACTGCACGGTGAAAGCCGGCTGGCGGGGGTCGCTGCCCTGCCCTCACTGAGGGCAACAGTTTTCGGATTGCAGGACTGACTGCGGAGCGGGTGCTGAAATCCCTGGCGTGGGCCTTAAAGGGGTATTTCTTGTCTGGAAACAATGCCGCGGTCCATCGAAGTGCTTCACATTTTCTTATTTTTATCTGTCTCATGTTGACAGCCAGTGTTTTGGTATTGTTCCTTCAGGTCATGGCTTTCTAATGGAGCGCCTCTTTGTAGAACTTTGGAGAGTATTCTGTCGGTAATCTGATGCCCTTTTAATTTTTAGCGTGGTCCCCCTCCCCCTCAAAAAAGGACCTGCTTTATCACAACATCTACTGAGTAGGAAACTACAGAATCTGGGACAATTTCTTAATCTCAGTATCTGTTGACATGTACTAAGTAATTTTAAAATTCGTGTGAATGTATTAAGTGTTTTGTCATTTACACTTGCTTACTTTGTTAATGGTATATCCTGCTTACTTTGAGGTTAGTCTGTTATCTGTGGTACTTTGATTTTATAGTTTTTGGTTAGCTTTAGCCAACTAGACTTTTGAAGATCTGACCCCCGCCCCCTTGGAGATTGTGGCTGTAGCTTTAGTATTTGCTCTTGTTTCAAGGGGTTATGTATTTTTAAAAACTTTTTTTCCCCCCAAACTGGGCTTTTTCATAGCTTTTTAAAGTTTTAAGGGGGAATTCTAAAAATTTGGAAATTACACACTTTAGCCTAAAGATCCATAAAAATAGCATAACAATATAAAATCCTAACTTTTTGGAGTAACCGCTGCTCAGTTTAAGAGATGGCAGTGGATAGTCCCTGGCCGGTGCAGTGATCCTCTAGATTCCAGAGAAATCTTGGAGGTGTGGGGAGAATGAGTTTTGCCTGAGACCAGAACACAGGTGGTTCCAGGAGCGTTTTCCTGTTGGGAAAATAGTAGCATGCCTCCCTCACAATTGAGTTGTCTGTGTGCATCGTAAGTAGTATTAAGTTAGGTGGTAATAAAGTGCCCGTGTTCTAATTTTCAAACTTTCTGGTAGGGCTTGAAAATGAGGTGAGCAAATAAAATGTACAATGGGGACACTCTTGCATGGTCAGGCTTCCAAGAATAAACTTTTTTTTGAATCCAAATTGGCGCTGGCCAGTTGGCTGTAAAAGTCAAGTAAGTGACCTGACCAATTTTTAAGCCATGAACCTTTTTGGCTAGTCCATTTCATTCAAAATTTCAAGGAATGGTTTTTTTTAAGTTTTTATTGGATATAGTTGATTTACAATGTTGTTAATTTCAGGTGTGCAGCAAAGTGAATCAGTTATACATATATCCACTCTTTTTTAGACGCTTTTCCCACATAGGCTATTATAAGTATTGAGTAGAGTTTCCTGTGGTATACTGTAAACCCTTATTATCTATTTTATATGTAGTAGTGTCTCTATGTCAGTTCCGATTTTCCAATTTATCCCTCCCCTTTACACCCAATAACCATAAGTTTGTTTCTACATCTGTAACTATTTCTGTTCTGTATTTAAGTTCATTTGTACCGTTTTTAAATATTCCACATATAAGTGATATCATGTGGTATTTGTTTTTCTCTGACTTCACTCAGTATGACACTCTGTAGGTCCATCCATGTTGCTGCAAATGGAATTATTTATTTCTTTTTTTATGACTTGAGTAATACCAACATTTCAAGAATTTATAATGAAAAAGGATACCCTAGACTGAGCTGAAGAAAATTTAGGGTGGCATATAGAAAAAAATGAGGATCAAAAAAAATAGTTCAGTTGCCTCTGTATTACCTCATTTAATCATTATAATCCTAAGAGGTAGCTACAGTGATTACTGTCCTCTGATGAGTTAATGTAGTTAACACATGTGTTCAAGATTTCTCAGATAATAAGTTTAGAGGTGGAATTCACTTCTAAGCAATCTAATTACAAAGCCTGTATTCCAAACTGTTGTGTTTTACCATCGCAGTAAAAATGGCTTCATACAGATTTGGTTGAAGGCAACTAATCAGTGGAAAATTATGCCGCAGAACCATAAACTTAATATTCGGTAACACTTTGAGATCACTGTGTAGTAAGCACTGTTGACTATTGCTGGAATGTAAGGATGGAGTCCTTCCCTGTCTTTGAGGAACATCCCTTTAGTGAGAGAGAGAGATTAGAACAAATAATGGTAATACAATACAGTGTATATTATACTGTAAGAGAGTGCCATAGAGTCTGTGGTTTCATGGAACGAGAATTGAGTTAAAGTTCCGACCAGCATTTGAATTCCTGTTTTGCTTTGTGACCTGAAACATGATCTCAAATTTCGTTCATCTTTAGTTTCCTTATCTGCTAAGTGGAAAGACTAATACTTCAAAGGGGAGTATTAATATTAAGCAAAATATGTAAAGTACTGGCTTATTGGTATGTGAATGAATATAAAGTCCTGAATGAAGAATAAGAAACAAATAAATTGAACAGAGTTGAGATGGGCCTGAGGTTTACCAGGGCACTATCTCTGGAGCCTTGAAAGGTGACTGATAATTTTTATTAGTGGGGAGGGAGGGCATCATCTCAGACAGAACACACGGAGCAGGGGTCAGGGTCTCAGAAGAGGAATATGGATTGTTGAGAGGATGGCAAGTAATTGTGGTTCTGTATGCAAAGTATTTGTGGAGGCCAAATTTAAATGGTAATTGTGTAGAAATGTTGCTGGGCAAATTTAGTAGTTAGAAATGATATACTTTATAAGAATATCTCAAGAGTGTGAATTGTTACATTTTTATTTAATATTTACTTTTTAATACTTACTAAAATTGATTTCCAAATGTGTTCAGACAAGCAACTATTTCATTACAATATTTCATCCTAACCAGTAAAAGAAGACTAAGGCAACTGTGCCTAATTCAAGGGAAGTATTTTGGGATTATTTTAAAAAGAAAAATAATCTTGAGAATTCCGTGGATGTCCAGTGGTACACTTCCACTGCAGGAGGTGCATGTTGGATCCCTAGTCAGGAACTAAGATTCTGTAGGATGTGGGGTGCCACCAAACAAATTAAAGTAAAATAGTCTTAATTAAGTGATTGCCTTTCCTTAACCTGACCTACCCCTTTGCCACATAGTCAATATTGCACATTACACTTGGCATATATGTTACCATCATTTCTGACCCCAAAATTGAGATGTTTAAATTGACAGACAGAATGTTTTAAATTGAGACTGTCCTTGAAACCCTGAGAAAAAGTCCCATGCTTATGTCTTCCCCTCAGGAGAGCACAGAACCATAAATACTCACATTGAATTTATAAATGTGGATCACTTGATAACCAAAATCACATGACTAAGTTGAAAATACCAAATGACATTTAGGAAAGCTGCCTTTTTAGTCCAACTTGTTAAGTGTCATGTAGATGTGTAAATGACACAAAGTAATAGAGGTGAGCTTTCGGATGAAAAAAATTGCTTCCTAAAACAGGTAATTTTAGAAGACTAGGAAAGAAAATATGTTGGACTTCATTTTGAACAGAAACCGGGGCAGGAAATGGCTGTGGCTGAACCACTACCTGATAATAATCATAACATGATTAAATTTGACATTTAATGAGAGGAAGTAAAGGAGAAAAGGTGCACTGTATGCAGCTTTCCAGTTTTAGAAACAGTAGGGAAAGGGGCTTTAAAAGTGATCTACAGAAGTTGTGAAGACATGTAGTAGGCACACTTGTTGCATGAATGAAATCACCTTGGTCAGGCATTCAGCAAAAGGCAGCAAAAACATCATGAAAGTTATATGTGTCACAAGTTTTAGTGCTCTACAGATCTAGGTTCAAGTTTCAGGTCTGCAGTCCACCAGTTGTCTTAATTTTTGGCTGATTATGCCATCTTTTTCAGGTTTAGCTTTATTTAATCATAAAATGGAGATACTTGCAAAATTTTGAAAATTAGATGAACGAATATATGTGAAGCACTTGATACATGGCCTGGCTTATAAGACTTGCCAAAAAAAAAGTTGCTGTAATTCAACCAAGTTGAAAAGGTATACTTTAAAAGAAAAATACAATTCTTGGGATTTCCCTGGTAGTCCAATGGCTAGGACTCTGAAGTCCCAAAGTAAGGGTCTCAAGTTCAGTCTCTGGTCAGGGAAGTAGATCCCACATGCCCAAGTAGATCCTGCATACTGCAACGAAGAGTTAGCACAGCCAAATAAAATAATAAAAATAAATATTAAAAATGTAAAAAAAATACAATTCTCAAGTAGAGTCAGGAAAGCCAGAAAATGGCAAACAGTGAAAACTT